AATCAAAATGTTGACATTCCACACTACATTAAACAAAAGGTTAGGAAGGAAATGCCTATCAATACTATAAAGTTTCTCGAAAAACTGTTTTAGCAAAAAGATTTTATTTTCAACCACAAATAATGCTAACTGCTCACTCAAGGAATGCTGAATTGTAACAGGGTCTTGTTCAATATTTAATTGCATGAAATCAGCAAAAATTCTCGGAAGAATAGATTGAATGGTTGGGGAAAAAATGGAAAAAGAAATGAGTTAATAATTGTTTGAAGCAATAAAATGAATTTAAGAACGGTTCCAAAGAGAATCAAACCCAGAAATAACTAGTCAAGATTCAGTAAAATTGAGTAGAACCAAATTTTCCCCTAACCTATCCACTTTTCCTTCTATAAGAAGACATGATTAATGTGTTGCCCAAATTTCTTGTCCTGAGAACCCAAATTTGGGGTTTCTTTACATTAATGCTATTCACCCAATACACATTATATTCTTACAAAAGAGTGACCTAGTTTCTTTTAACAAAGGAAGCCATGTGGTTTATGAAAAAGTTTTCCTAAGATAGGGCAATTGGATAGTGGAAAAATTAGATATATCAATGTCAAATTTTGGTATGGTATCTATGTAAACAAAGACCCAAAGTGCCCAGTCAGATGGTCAGCTAAGATTTTCTCCAGATGTGCCTGTTGCTGTCACATGACACATCTGCATTTCCATGGCTGCAGCGAACACACAAACACATGCAAGTGAGAAGTCAGTGATAGGCAACAGGCAGCCTTGCTTCCACTAAATTATAGCAATTACTGCTGGATTTTTCAGGCTACTATCCAACAGGGGAGAAATTAGTTCTTTAGTAGATAAGAGATATCTTATTCTCTGGTCTTAGTATTCAATAAACCTGTTGTCAGTGTTATCAATAGCATTGTCTAAGTTATTGAAGGAGTTCTCATTCCACCCTTGATTCCCGACATTGTACCCAGACACAAAGAATCACCTTACTATGGCCACATTTGAGAATTACTCATTCCTTATCTGCAATTCACAACATATATTTTGGTCTACCACTAGATATCACTGTCAACCCCAATATCGTAAGAGTTTGGGAAACCCAAATCAGCCCTCAGCCCCAACCAAGAAGGGGAAAAAAGCCAGACAACCTTGCAAGGTTGGTATTATTGAATTAGCTTAATGGAGAGAGCAACTCAAAGAGGGTTGAGGGTTGATAGCACTTGTTGGAGTTCAAGCTATGAACAAATAGTGGGCGTCCAAACAAAATTCAAAATACTAGGAAAGTATAAAAATACATTTTTATAGAAAAAAATTAACAATGATGCCTATTTGGAACAGAATTACTAACAATACCTATTTATCTGTAGTTGAAACCATAAGATGGTGTTCAAAATATTTAGATTTCAGAATTAAATGACCCATAGAGGTATTGATATGCTGCTAAACAAAATCAGCCAACCTACCAAAGAGGGTTGAGGGTTATAGAATGTTTCCTGTTTGGAAACCATTAATCTCACTATTACCATTAATGACCTTCCCCAGACACTGTTACTCACAAGAGAAAGTGGTAATGGTGTCTTCATCTAGCTAATGCCTTACCATTATGCAGGCGGTATTTCTGTCACATCCTGTATTAAGTGTAGGAATTGTCCAAATGGTTGTTTGTTTCAAAACATTATCGGTTAATCTATTCACTATTTTGAAGAATTTTGGTTGTGTTATTTATGGTGGGTAATAAGTGCTATAGTGAAAAGTCTAAACTTTAGATTTTTTTGTGGGTTTTATTTTGAACATGAGAAAGATAGTAATTGAAATAGCAATGATGATCCTAGGGTTGCTGGCACCCTGGTCATGCTTTAACTGAGTTAATTCATGTTTGAAGTCTCTGTCGTTGGTATCACGAAATTGCATCTTCAGCTCATGTCGGGAGTCACCATTTTGGAGTTTTAAAAAATGGTATGATTCTTTGGATTATTCTGTTCAAACTCCAAATCCATGTTGAATTTGTGCTGTTCCTGAAATAAAAGGTACAAAGGGAAGAAGGAGGCAGAGACACTAGAAATGGATTTAGGAAATTTATTACAGTAACAATGGTCTGTTGAGGGGGGAAATGCCTTCCTGAGCAAAAAGACACGTGTTTAACCATTGAAAGTTCAGAGAAAAAGAACAATTCTTCTCGTTTGTCTTTGGCGCCAGGAAGCCTGTTTTCTCACACATTCACCATATGTTCTTCCTGTTGGGGGCATCCTGGGAGATTCCTCTTTTTATTTTATCATAGTGTTTTTTTTTATATTTTATCATTATACAATCCCCACAATACATCCCCACCCAAAAGCAAAGCTATGGTAAGGATGCATTAGAGGGAAAGTTAAATTGCCTGTCTGACTTTGTGAAGTGTAGGTTAACGATCCATATGGTATACAATGTGGCAGGGTCTCTATAATGCTGTAGTTGACAGAAGGAGGATTATCAAATAGATCTGTGAAAAGCTCTTCCCATCATTGAAGTATTTCTTCTGGTGCCTTTATGGTATTAGCATTGTTTTTTGACTTCAGAGGGGTAATTGAGGATGTTGGTGGACCAAGGACTTGACATATCAATGAATAGAACAATTTGGAGTCTTTAATGCTGAAGGTCATGTTTCTTCACCAATCATTTTTGATCCTGCATAGTTCACATTGTAGGATTAACCTGTGATCCTTGTAAGAAGAAGGATTATCAAATAGATCTGTGAAAAGCTCTTCCCATCATTGAAGTATTTCTTCTGGTGCCTTTATGGTATTAGCATTGTTTTTTGACTTCAGAGGGGTAATTGAGGATGTTGGTGGACCAAGGACTTGACATATCAATGAATAGAACAATTTGGAGTCTTTAATGCTGAAGGTCATGTTTCTTCACCAATCATTTTTGATCCTGCATAGTTCACATTGTAGGATTAACCTGTGATCCTTGTAAGCTTTCTCAGCTGCTTGTGGCTTTTCAAAATTCTGGTTAAGTAACTTTTCATATAGAGTTTGCTTGGTTTCCAATAGCTGGTTGATGTGAATATTATTGTCATCAAACCAATCCTTGTGTTTCCTGATTCTGAAACCAAGTACATTGGCCTCTACTAAATATAACTGATCTCTAATGTTCTCCCAGGTATCGTCAAAGTCAAGGTTATCAAGTCTTTCCATCACGGTTGAACATATATCTGCTTGTTTTAATTTGGTCACATCGATTTGTTTCAGTGCTTTCACTCCATCCATATGAATTCTCTTACAAATACGCAGCCTGAATTTTCCACATGCCAATTTGTGGTCAGTTCCACATTCTATGCTACACCCTTACACGCACAGAACACACATCATTTGAATCTCGTTTACAAGAGATAGTCTATCATGTGATCCTGCTTGGATCTCGGTTGAAACCATATAGTTTTGTGCTTAATCTTTTGATAGAAAAATGTGTTGCAGATGATTAATCAAGTTCTGAACAAAGTTCAAGCAACTTCAATCTGCTTGTATTCATTTTACCAATGCTGTAAAGGCCACTAGTGTTCCAAGTTTGACTATCTTTGCCTACACATGCATTAAAATCTCCAAGGATCAGTAATTTATTGCCAACAGGTGTGGTTGTTATAGTAGAGCAAAGACACTCTTAGAATGAATCAAGAACTTCTTCACTAGCCTGTAGGTTTGGTGCATAGATGGACAAGAGTGTTGCATGCCAATCATGTGTCAATGACATCCGAATCTTCATAATTCTATCCTTCACACTAGAAGGAAATTCAGTGCAATCAAGAAGAGATGTTCTGATGGCAAAGCCAACACCACTCTCCTTCCGTTCAGCTCTGAGTCTACTTACACAGAAAATTGTGAAGCCTGACAATACATTTTATATATATATATATATATATATATATATATATATATATATATAAAAAACAAAAAACAGACCACTTTAAGGTTCAATTATAATAATTTATTTCACCAGAGCCCTTTTAAGGGACGCTGGATCATCAGATAACACTTCCAAAGAAAATCAAACAAAAGATGAAATGAAAATTTACACTTTTGACGGGTAGTATTAAGTTTATGTAATTTAACAGAGGGTAGCGAGGACTGGTGTGAGAGACATGGCCGAGTTTAGAGAGGATTTATTTTAATATTTCCCATACGGATTTATTTTAATATTACCCATACAGATTACCAAGTTTTTAACTTAACTATAATATATAATATATATATATATATATATATATATATATATATATATATATATATATATATATATTTATTACAGGAGTGAGAGAGTTAATAATTTGGTTTATTTTGTTTTATGCATATCAATCTCACTGAGTTATTTAATGCCAATAAGATTTTTAGGATAGGTTTGTATGAATAGAATATGTATTCTTGGTAAGAAATCAGTTTGTAGATAAAGTTTCATTGACATATTTTTGTAAAGAGTTTTTTGACAAGAGTAAAATGTGTTGCTGTAAATTTTTTTTTTTTTTTTTTTCAAAAAAAGTATTGCTGGTATTTTTACTATAAAAATGTATTTTTATACTTTCATAATGTTTTTACTCCAGTTTGTAGGGTTAACTATTTGCCCCTAGCTGGGACCCTAACAAGGTTCAGGGTGGACCTGGGAACAACCACAGCTAAGGGGTGGTTCCAAGCTCCTCAAAACTACCCAATCAGAAGAGGCCTTGCTGCTGGAGAGAATGTTAATAATATAGTTTTCTATAATAATAATTAATAATAATATTTTTTCTATAATAATAAATAATATAGTTTTTCTTTCTTTCTGCAGATCATTAAAAGAAGACAATATGAGTGGTGACAACCCAAAGACAATAAAAGCTGTGTCCTATTTAGTGCCTGATCTTCCTGTGGAAATTTTCCAGGCATTCATGGAATATTTGGAGGAGACTTTGAGAATAACAAGCTTTCTGATATATGAATCAAGGTGGCGCTGTCCTCCAAAAGACCGGAACCTATTTTCTACAGGAGATGCTGACATCGGTAGATATATATATTTTACTCATCATTTTTTTCTTCTTTCTTTTTCTTTTTTTCTTTTGTCTTTTTCCTTTTTCTAATTTTTCTTCATCTTTCTTTTACTTTTTCCTCGTTTCTCTCTTTTTGTTTTTCTTTTTTTCTCTTACTCTTTTTTCTTTCTTTATTTCTTTTTTCTTTTTCTTTTGTCTTTTTCTTTGTCTTTTATCTTTTTTCTTCTTTGTTTTTCTTCTTCTTTGTTTTTCTTTTTCTTCTATTTCTTTTCTCTTTTTTCCTCTTTTCTCTCTTTTTGTTTTTCTTTTTCTCTCTTACTCTTTTCTTTCTTTCTTTTTTCTTTCTTTGATTGAGTTTTTGTTTTATGATGAAGCAGCAGCCATGATGTGTCCTGCCACTGAAAAATGAAAAAAAAAATTGCAATGTTTGCAGAAAGCTAAGATTACTTATATTCTCCAAAGCTCTTTCACCCAGAGCTCATACAGCTCACCCAGTCCTGTTACTTTTTAGACACACCTGCTATATTTTAATAATCATAGATTTTTTGAAGAAAAAAAAAGATTTTGTAGTATTTTATTTAATAAATATTATAATAATATTTATTTTTTTTAATTTTTCATTTAAAGTTGAAGATCAGCTACAACTATTGCCTTCCTGCTTCAAGCTTTCAAGATTGTTGGAATTCCTCCTTTGTAGTTCCTGTTTTTAAGAACTCTGGAGAACCTTCTGACTTTTATCACCCTATTAGTCTCTTATCAGCAAAGTATTCATGGTTTTAATCAATGCTGAAGTGGTTAAGCATCTTACCTCTCATGACCTACTCTCTGACAAACAATATGGCTTCAATTTGGCCAGGCCTACCATTGATCTGCTAACGACCATCACTGAATTTGTATATGAAGCTTTTGATAATAACTGCAAAGCTCAAGCTGTGGCTCTAGATATCTCAAAGTCATTAGACAGAGTTTGGCATGCTGGTCTTCTATGTAACCTCCAGAGCTACACTATTACAGGACAATTGTTTGATTTCATCCAATCATTCCTATCAAATTGTGAAATAAAGGTTGCTTTAAATAAGCACGCTTCCAAATCCTTACACGAATATGGGTGTCCCTAAGACTCTATCCTGGGTTCTAGGCTGTTTCTGATGTTCATCAATGATCTTTCCTGATGTCATCAGTTCCCAAAGTAGGCATTTATGCAGATGACACTACCATTTACTCCTGTTTCAGTAGCAAATCCAACAGAGCTGACAACGCTAACCTGGCCACTACTCTTGAAAAGGACCTCCAATCAGTGGTTATCTGAGGCAGGAAATGGCTTGTAAATTTTAATGCCTCCAAAATGAAACTGCTCCCTCTTAACCACCATATAGAAACTTTCCTACCCACCATCAGCATGGTTGAAGCTAGACTCCTGAAGAGTGACACACTGCGCCTCTTGGCCTCACATTTTCAACCGACATGAAATGGAATGACTACATCAAATCAATAGTTGCTATCTACTGCAAGGAAAACTGGGTCACTGTGTTGTGTCAGAAGGTTTTTCTTGTCAGAGTCCATCTTGCACATATACAAATCTACCATTTGTCCATGCATTGAATACTGCTGCCATATCTGTTCTGGTGCTCTTAGTATTCATCTCAAGGTTCTTGACAAAATCTAAAAAAGGATCTGCAATGTAATTGATCCTGATTTGGCATCTCGACTTCAGTCACTTTCTCACCAATGTGATGTGGCTTCCTTCTGTCTTTTCTACAAATATTTTCATAGCAACTGCTATGACAAGCTTTTTTTGTACCCTGGCGATTCAACTACATGAACTACTTGGCATGTAGGTCCCACTCTTTTACTGTCAAAATAATTAAATAACTGCCATTTCTAACAGTTTCTTTTTTCACACTTCCCACCTGTGGAACTCCTGTTTACTTGCTTCCCTGCTGTAAACTACAGTCTTCAAAAATTTAAATTCAATGTCAATTGCCATCTTCTGTCTTCTTGAATCCTGTTCATCTTTTATCCTTTCCTCAACCCCCCCCCTACTCAGTCTTTTCTTTCATTTTCACTTTCTGTAACCCTCTGTGTACTAGTGGCATTCCCACCTTGCTTGGGGCCAACCTATTATCTGTCACAATGCCAGCACATCCGAGCTTACAGCACCTGGTATTCCCTTGCAGTCACCCATTTAGGTACTGGTCAGGCAGAACATTGCTTAACTTCATTGATCAGATGAGAACTGGTGTTTCAATGTGATTTGGCCATGCTTAAGTTTTTTTGTTTTTCTTTCTTTTCTTACTTTTCTTTTTTTTTCTTTTTTTTCCCCTTCTTTCTCTTTTCTCCTTTTTCTCTTTCTCTCTCTCTTTTTCTCTCTCTCTTTCTCTTTCTCTCTCTCTCTCTCTCTTCTCTCTTTCTCTTTCCTCTCTCTTTCTTCTCTCTTTCTCTCTCCTCTCTCTTTCTTCTCTCTTTCTCTCTCCTTCTCCCTTTTTCTTCTCTCTTTCTCTCTCCTTCTCCCTTTTTCTTCTCTCTTTCTCTCTCCTTCTCCCTTTTTCTTCTCTCTTTCTCTCTCCTTCTCCCTTTTTCTTCTCTCTCCTCTCTCTTTCTCTCTTTGTATGTGCATGCTCCATTTATTAAAAACTTTATTATTGGGGAGAAATAAGAACTTATTATCTTTTAAGAAATTAGTTGCTTTTAGTATAAATGGTATTTTAATTATAAATTTTGTATTATTCTGGCATCATTGCAAAAGACAAAACCATTCATCCTAAACTAATGTTCTATCATTGCTGGGACAACATTAATTTTGAGCCTTGCCAAGTAACCAAACTGGTTAACTGGTTTTAAAAAAAGAAAAAAAAAAAGAAAAATTTTGGGCTTAATCATCAAATTTTTTGCTAACAGCAAACAGTATATTTCTTTACTTTTTTTTTTATTTTTTAAATTTTCATCAAGTCTGGTACAAGTGACATCATCAAATGTGAGCGTTTGAAAAGTAAATAAACGAAATGCTTGAATTCAATTGCTTCATTTTCAATGCAAAGAATTCCTGCTGAATGTACTTTGAAATATTTTCAGTCATAAAGTACCCATATTGGAAGTCAAAGGTGAGACTATGTAATTTTATAAAATTACAGAAATCCTCGTGTCAAAAGAGATCTGCTGACGTCAGCAGTTAGAAAAGTAAAGGGTGATTCACTGTATTCACAATTACCTTTGGAATAATTGAACATTTTATTTTTAGTAACATATCTAGAGTTTCCAATCAATACTTCAGTTACTAAAAGAACAGTAACAAATGAAAATCATGGAGAAGCAAAAGAAAAATTGCCTTGTATAGTTAAGTTTGCTAGTACAAATATTTTTTAGTATTTTAGTCAGTTAAGTTTTTCAGTTCATAACTGACTAGGCAGAAGATTTTTTTTTCCTGCAGTAGGTTGCCATTTCTTTCTGTGGTGGACTGGTTGCCAACTAAGGCTATAGGATCCAGTCTGTTCTGTTATTTAACGTATAGCTGGGTGGAAGATTTAATGTTTAGTGACCTAGACTTGAACAGGTTAAGATTGTAGTGATCAGGGAAAGCAGCCTCTTGGGAATTAGTATCTAAGTGTGACTCTCTGGGGAGGTGAGGGGAGGTTGGAATAAATTGTTCCTCACCTATATGTCAATATGCAATTCTAAATATCTTTGTTTATTTGTGCTACTAATGATATTAATTAAATAGGAGTAGGTAGGCTTTCCTACTGCCCGGTCAACACTCCTCCCCCTTCTCTTGGACATGAGTAGAGGCTTACGCCTTGTTTCTTGTTTAGGAAGGGGTTTCCAGTACTCTCTCTCTCTCTCACTGGCCTCTGTATCTCCAGTTGCGTTGATCTATCCACTACTCTTCTCCTCATCCTTTCTTCTATCACTCCTATCTGATCTTGCTCCAAATTTTCTGTAACCCCTTGCGTTCTAGTGGCTTTCCGCCTTGCTTGGGGTGAAACGCTTACAAAAAAGAAAAAAAAAAAAAATTACTTTACTAATTTTATTTATGTCATTGCCACCATATACTGATAGTCAAAAAGTCAGTTTAGTGCCATGCATGATACAAACTTGGATGATCCTGTCTCTTTGATTCATAACTATGCAGAAGAATTTTTCTGCAGTAGGTTGCCATTTGTTTTTGCAGTAGGTTGGTTGCCAACCAAGGCTATAGGACCCAGTCTGTCCTGCTATTCAACCCATAGCAATGGAATCATATCATTCCCAAGGATAATTTACATGTGAGTGTAATGAACTCAACTGGAATTTGAACTCTGCTATCAGATTTCTTATTCTGAACTGTTTTTCATTACAACACATTACTGTATTTAAAAAAAAAAAATCTGAAATTAAAAACATTTCTCCTCAAATTGTTCAAATAAATAAAGGTCAATTTAATTTTCACTTGGGAAAATTTATCCAGATTTTAATTCTGACATTGCTTAATCAAAATGTTACTCTGAACAGGGATATGGGGAAACAATTATGTGGTGACGAGTACGCAAGTCGAAAGTAACCAAGTACAAACAGACCATCGATTTTCTGGTTATCTTGTCACAGAACTGTATGGTCTGATCTCGTTTACTGGACCAGCAGAGATCACATACTAATACAGAGGAACCTCAGTTGTCAAATGTCTCGCATGTCAAACAAATTGGTTTTCAAACAGAAAATTTGAGATGGAAATACCCCAGTTATCAAAGAAAATTTTAGTTCTTGAATAACATAGCCAAACCGAGTTAACACAAATGGAATAATTTGTGAATCAACCGCCATGTTGTATATATTCGTGTGTTGTGCTGTGCTTTTTTTTTCCAATTTTATTGTACCGTGACTCTTTTTCTCTACATTGATTTCTATTGGAAAAATAATTTCAGTTTACAAACGGTCTTCAGGAACAAATTATTTTTGTGAACCGAAGTTCCACTGTAAATTGAAACTAGTCATACCTTTTATTGTATTTTTATTATTTTTGGAACTGCTTACTAAAAATAACAACCAATTATTTCTTTAATCTTTTCTCTGTGATGTTTCTTATTTGTAAAGTCTAGAGATTCTATCATGAATATTATTTATAATTGATTGGAAAATACATTTTCTGCTTTATATTTAAATTATTCACTTCAGTTTTATTGATTTTTTTGCCAAGCCTGGAGTGGGGGGGCAGCTGGAGCTACCTTGGTAAATTTGCAACAAGTGTGTAGAATTTCATCAAAATCTGTCAAGAAATGTGGATGTACATAAATAATATACACATACAGATGCACAGACAGACATCTTTTTGTTTTATAAACATAGATTACACATACAGAGCAACCTTGGTTCTCGAATGTCTCACATGTCGAACAATTCGGTTTTCAAACAGAAAATTCGAGATGAAAATGCTTCGGTTATTGAACAAAATTTTGTTTCTTGAGCAATATTGCCGAAACAAGTTAACCCAAATGGAATCATTTCTGAGTCGACTGCCATCTTGTATACATTCACATATTGTACTGTGCTTTTCTTTACCAATTTTATTGTACTGTGACTTTTTTCTCTACATTGATTCTTATTGGAAAAATAGTTTCGGTTTACAAACATTTCAGGTTGCGAACGGCCCTCAGGAATGAATTAAATTCATAAACTGAGGTTCCACTGTAATTAAATGGTGTTTCTGAACCACAAATTAGCTACATTTCATAAATTAGAAGTGCTTGAACTGTTAGAATGTATTCAAAAAATTTTTTTTAATATTAAATTATTTCGATAAATGTAACAAGTTTGTTAGAATTTACTACATGTAACATAAGCTTAATGAAAAGTGAGTAATGCCATTTGATCCTCACTTAGTGTCCAATACAGAATTTGCCATTAAATAACCCACCAAAGGTTAGCCTGTTGTGAAATCAAAAAACTAATTAAACCTAACCTTAACCTTTTTCTATATGCTTTTACTATATATTTAGAGATTCTTGATAAAATCCAAAGAATCTGCAATGTTATTAGTCCGAACCTAGCATCTCAGTTTCAGTTCCTTTTCCACAGCCATAATGTAAATTCCCTATGTGGGTCATTCCATATCATATCAAGAAGGGTCTGACCATCACAGACACCATTTTTTTTTTTGTTCAAATTTGGCACACTTATAGAGATTCATGATAGAAATTGAATGCTACTTATTTTACATCTCTAGGTCAAAGTGTACCTGAGATATGACCTTTTGACCCTTCCCCAAAAGGTGAAGTTTGGAAAATAGTCATAAAGGTTAAATATCAATATCACAGTTGTTATTTAATCCACAAAGCTAAATTATATACAATTTTAAAGTACTTGGATAGATCTAAAAGGTGATATATTTATTTGTTTAAAAGTCAAATAAGATAATTTGATCTTAAACTTTGTCTTTTAATTTCTCTAAAACTATATCTTTAATTTTTTTTTTTTTTTTTTAAATTTATCAGGATTTTTTCCAAGCACACATCCTAACCACCAATTCCTGTAATAGATTGCTATAACAAATTCCTGAATGTTTTCAAGCTCTTTATTGTTTCATTTTAGAAGTATTTTTCTTTCATCCTGAGTTGACACAGTTATTGCTGTCTTGGGGAAAAATAATCTAGTTTTGAGTTTCTGTAGTGTAATTGTTGAGGCATTTTTAATCTATTTTTCTAAGATTTCTGCTTCATTTGTTCATTAATACAAAATATTTATACCTGAAATGTTTTTGTTTTTTTTCTCAATCAAACAACTATCTTGGTGGGAGTATTTGTTCATTATAGGGTCACTGCAGATTTGCTTTTGCTACTAATCTTTTAATAGTACCACCTAATCCATCACATGGTTCTTTCCCATGAGATGAAGCAAAAAAGTTCCACTCTGAATCAATACCAAAGTCAGCCTTATGGTTGCACAAATTGATAACCTTTTTATAATGTGAAGTGACACCAGAGAAATAGATCAGATTTTTTTATTTTAAAATTATGATTTTTTTTCAGTACTTCTATTAGTTTTCTTTGGAACAAATTGACAGAGCTACTGTCATGCTTCAGACAATCTGATATAATTACAATATTAATATACTCCAGCTCTTTGTCATTTCTGTAATAACAGATAAATGGATATAATATGACTTGAGAATTATTCCAGTCGAAGCCTTGTGCAGCTTCCAGAAAAATAAATGAATAATTCTCAGTAAAATCTACAATAAATGACTTTACCAAACATCAAAGAACTTTTCTTGTTAGAACAAAATTTTGATAATTCTTTGGCAATGAAATCATGCTTTTTTTTAAGGATTGAAGGCCAACACAAAAAGTTTCAATAAATTCTTCTGTAAATTATGATACAGTTTGCTGTGTGGTTTTATCAGCTGATAGCCATTGTTTGTAAATAAAATCATTTATTAAATTTTTATTTAGAATTTCTTCTATATATGAAACAAAATCTTCCATCAAATTGCTACAAGTTGAGCAGTCACCCTAGTAGCAGTTGGAGATTGCTTCATTATATGTAACAGTAGGTATGCATTGGTGGTAATCTGTTAAATGATATTGTTCATCTTGAGTCAGTGTACCAAGATAAGCCCTCCCACAATCTTCATTCATATTTTGATGATTTGTACAAACACAGACAAGCTACTAGGATACATTCTTTAGGTTCTGAGCTCAGCAAATTTTGAAAAAATAACTGTTTTTTTTTTTTTTTTTTTTTTTTTTTTTTTTAAATAATTGGTATAACTATTTCAGGTCACAGAGTAGAAGATACCTTTGTTCTTGGACTCTTCTACCATTCTTTAAGACTGTCTTATAGTCATTTTTTCCAGGCATCACACTGCAGGCTTCTTCACTCTTATAAAACAGCACACCTTCATCAAGTGTCTCTTGTAGGAATCTACATTTTCACATATTTGCTAAAGAATATTCATTCTTCATTTATGAGTTTTTTAGCTTGTCTTGTCTTGTATGTTGTGGTGCCAAGTTCCATATAAATTCTTTGAATACTTCAGCTTTTTGGAAAGTATTGTCAAAATTTGTACTTTTTGGGACCTCTTTTCACAAGCTGCAATTATTTTGTAATAATTTCACTTTCATCAGATCTTTTGTGTTCTCCTGCACTGGTAGGTTCTTAAATATTTTAAGTTTTATCAGTTTAATTTTCTTTGATACTGCTCCTTCAATCTTTCTTAATTTTTATTCCTCATAACTAGTTTGTTTATCAAGTTTTTGATGCTTGATTGGTGATTCACCAATTATTGACAGTGACTCATTAAGAAGTTGCAATTTATTTTCAGTATCTACAAAAATGCTAGAAGGCTGAGGATGGTCTTCAGCTAATGTTGAAACACTTTATAAAACTGAGGTAATGTTATTAATTTTATTCAACAATGGGTTTGCTTGTTAATCTCTTTCAGATCAAAACTTAATTTAAATAAGCAGATTAGCTTTTAGATCTATCCAGGTACTTTAAAATGGTATGTAATTTAGCTTTGTGGACGAAATAACAACTGAGATATTGATATTTAAACTTTATGACTATTTTCCAAAGTTCACTTTTTGGCAAAGGTCAAAAGATCATATCTTGGGGAAGTGTTTAAACTAGAGATGTAAAACAGATGTCATTCAATTTCTATCATGAAGCTCTTTTGTGTTAATTTTACATGGAATGACTCTTGCTTTTTGTATAAATATTTTCATGGTAATTGTTCTGATGAACTTTCCTCTATAGATTGCTGGCAGTGGGGGGTATTACTAACACTTTTGTTTAGTTTCTTGTATATATAAATTAGTAAATATTAATTGAATTTTTATTTTTAAAAATTGTTACTTTTAATCTCCAGCCCCAACAGATAAATTGTACATATGAGAACTAGTTAGGAATTCATAGAGACTTTGAGGTATTATGGTGGCTGTAGTAAGAATTGTAAGTCAGAACATTGTTTTGTTGTAAAGAATACTGTGGTATGTTTATGTCAGTAATTGTGGTTAGCTGAGTTTAATTAAAAGATTGATGGAAAACCTTTCCTCATCCCCTGTTTTGGCCTTGTGCCATATTTTTGTATTTTACAAAATAAATATTACTTTCCTCTATGGTACCTAGACTTTATGAATTTAACCACAGTAGTAGATTGGCTGTAAGGTTTCACCATTTTACAGTTGAAATGGCTAGAGGTAAACCGTAAGTTCTATGCTAATAGTTTCTTCTCTCACACTTCTCGCTTGTGGAACTCTCTTCCACTTTCTTGCTTTAGACATTTAAATGTAATGTTCTTATCTTCTATCTTCTTAATTCCTGTTTTTTTTTTCCTCATATTCTCTTACAGTCAGTAACCTTTGCATCTTAGTGGCTTTATTGCCTTGTTTGTCATGAAATGATAAACAAAAAACCTGAACCACCAGAGAGCAGCATCAGTATTTCTTGTTCTTTGTAGTTTGGGGGGGGGGGGCTTGCAATATACACCTGATGTTTTAAGTAGAAGTTCACTTTTTTGTTTGCATTTTGGAATGAAATAACTTTTTTTTATTTTTTTTTATTTTAATTATTTAACAAAAAATAGTTTATATATTTCTTAGAAGATTTTTTATAATAATGTAATAAATGCTATATTTTTTTCTTAAATTTAAAAATGAAAGAAAGGCAGAAAGATAATAAAGCTGATAAAAATAAAAAAATCCTTTTTGAAGATAAGAGAAAAAAAAATTGTAATTAGAGACACTTTGGGCTGGAGAGTTTGTCATTTTAATTTATATTTCTTTTTAACTTTCTTTCCTTTTTGAAGCTTTTTTTTTAAGCTTTTTTTCTTTAAACTTTCTTTTTTCTTTTGTGCTTTCCCACTTTTTTCTATGGTTAAGTTTTCTTTCTTTCTTTCTTTCTTTCTTTGGTAAGTTTTCTTTCTTTCTTTCTTTCTTTGGTTAAGTTTTCTTTCTTTCTTTTTCTTTGGTTAAGTTTTCTTTCTTTTTTTTTCTTTGGTTAAGTTTTTTCTTTTTTTTTTCTTTGGTTAAGTTTTCTTTCTTTTTTTTTTTTGGTTAAGTTTTCTTTCTTTTTTTTTTCTTTGGTTAAGTTTTCTTTCTTTTTTTTTTCTTTGGTTAAGTTTTCTTTCTTTCTTTTTTTTTCTTTGGTTAAGTTTTCTTTCTTTCTTTTTTTTTTCTTTGGTTAAGTTTTCTTTTCTTTCTTTTTTTTTCTTTGGTTAAGTTTTCTTTCTTTTTTTCTTTGGTTAAGTTTTCTTTCTTTTTTTTTTTTTTAAGTTTTCTTTCTTTTTTTTTTCTTTTTTTTTTTTTTTCTTTTTTTCTTTGGTTAAGTTTTCTTTCTTTCTTTTTTTTTTCTTTGGTTAAGTTTTCTTTCTTTCTTTTTTTTTTCTTTGGTTAAGTTTTCTTTCTTTCTTTTTTTTTTCTTTGGTTAAGTTTTCTTTCTTTCTTTCATTCTATGGTTAAGTTTTCTTTCTTTCTTTCATTCTATGGTTAAGTTTTCTTTTTTTGGTTAAGTTTTCTTTCTTTATTTCTTTGCTTAAGCTTTCTTTCTTGCTGTCTATCATTAAGTATACTTTCTTTCTTTTTATCTTTCTTTCTATGGTTAAACTTTCTATGTTTTTGTATCCTTAGGCTTCCTTTTTTTATCTTAGACTTAAAAAAGAAAACCCTGTCCAATAGAATTTAAGACTTTGTCTACAGTGAATTATACAATCTTCTGATAAGCCTACAACTAACAGTGCACTTGTAATCATCTGAATTAACTCGTCAGACAATCAGTTACAATGGGGTGTAGTCTGCTTGTATTGCAAAAGAAAATGATTAAGAGAAGAGATAATGTTGTCCTGCCATGTTTAATCAACTTCACCTTATTGTAACCTCACCATAGTGTAATGATTAATGAGACGGGACATCCAGTATACACATATTCTTACTGGCCGTGGTAGAAGTCTTCACCTGTTCTTGTCATTAGCACCAAATATCAGGTGAAGAGTACATGTTGCAGGCAGGGTGTATATTTCATCTGTTTGAGGTTTACACCATTCATCTGGATCCCAGATAAAGCCATCTAGTGTTGATTCATTGTATGCAAAGTGCTTGGATGAGCTGTATCTTCTGGTTCCACCAGGCCTGGCCTTCATGTCTAGGACCCACCATGCCACTTACATACACTATTTACATTATTTGGACTATTGTCCTCATCTTTGTTGCCATATTTATTACGTTTCGGTCGTTAAACGCTTCGGCCTTCTTCAGGTGGTTGGAATGTCAACAAAGATGAGGACAATAGTTCAAATAATGTAAATCATGTACATAATACCTCATCTCAGAAATATAGACAGCCACTTACATAGAAGCAAACCACCCATATTCCTTCCTTATTCCATTGGCGAGAAGTAAGTCCCATTCAAATAGCTTCTTCCTGCAAACCACTTCTGTATATAACAGACTCCCTAGAGGATGTTTCTGAAATATACTAGAATCTTAACCTATTCAAGTCGAGTCAACTGTTATCTTCCTCCTCCTCCTATCCATATAAACTACCCTTGATCATCTCTTTACCTCAACTGGGCCCCTGGGCCTTGTACAGGGTGGACCTCACTGTAAAAACAAAAGATACCTAACCAAAATGTACCCCCCTGTGGCACTCTATTGTACCATTAGACAAGCCATGGTTTTTGGTTTCCTGGAAGCTTACTCAAAAGATTAACAGATCATGAACAGCTAAACTCGGCAGACACCAGTGTAACAAATGACAACAATTTATTAGTATAGACTATCCTGTTACAAATTCATGACGGTCGTCCTCGAGTATAGAATCCAGAGGTTAGCAGTGAATATTTCGGAGACAGTAGGAAAGCGTAGTTCAGGTTCGCAGTGGATATCACAGCAAAGTAGCAGAGCGTAGTTCTTCCTTCTGTCATTTTCGCCTGTCAAGTTGGCACTGGTCATTCCGGTAGGGTAAACAAAGATGGCCGCCTTTATACATGACGGATACAATGTTCTGCAGCTTCTGATTGGTTAACCTTCTATTGGTGGACTATAAAGGGAGTTAAGTCATTTTCTCTAACTTACTAGTCATATATATATATATATATATATATATATATATATATATATACACACACACACAAAAAAAACTGTAACATATCCAAATAGGTTACAATTTTTCTTGGTTCCATCTTGAGGCATTGAGAAAGGGATAATTGCTATGCTATACATAACCTGTACTTGTACTAGTTACCAAATACAACACACCTGTCTAGGTTTTGAATATCGTACCTGGGGAGGAGAGCTCTTTGCATTTGGTGCAATCAATTTAAGTAGCTCCTTTCATTCACCAGAATTCATATCATCAAATGCATTTCATTTGTTGTGTACTTGCTCAAAATAAAGTTCAGTACTGTACTTTATTCATCGTTGACAAGCCGTGGCTTTGTTGATCTAGGAGAGATTGTGGTTGTACTATTTATTCAACATCAGTAAATCTTCCTGAAAAAAAGGCATAAATGTACCAACAGAGGAAATGATGTTGTTGAAAAATTATCAACAATTAAAGGTGAAATGTAAAAATCATACAACAGCTATGGGTCTGTTTTGTCTCAATCACTCCTTTTCTACCCTTGAAGCACTGAGAGACATCTGTTTAAGTAATGCTGGTGACCCATGTTTCTAAACTACTCAGGACAAGATATTTTGGTAAGATTTCAATGTAAGTCTGCTAGGCAGGATGGTTGAATAACATTTCCCAAGTTAGTCTGGATTTTGCTATGTTTTTTGTAAACACATTGATCTTGTTGCCACATCTTCCTCAGGTATGAGAGGTGAAGCAGAGAAAATTCAGTTGTAATGAATGCCATACACCTAAGCATTTCATAGGTTCTGATTAATATTTTAAAACTAAACTTTCTTCCATCAGGTACCAATTTGATTTACTAGTCTGCTATATTTTTTTCCACTTTGCATTTTATTCCTTCACCTTAGTATTACAAGCTAAAATGAGCAACATTGTAGATATTGTCATAAAAAATCAACTTTAATGGAGTGGACATTCGGTATGACTGGATGACAGCTGGCTACCAAAGCGGATCTTTTTCCTCACAATTCAAGGAAGGTAATCAGAAAAGAGGTGGTGAAAAGAAGAAATTCAAGGAAGTTCTAAATTGAAACATTGTCAAGAGACAGAACAACAATCTTCAAATCCAAACAGTCAGCAGAATTAAAGGAAAAGAGACAACAACAATCAAGTCCTAATCCCCCATCCAGAACAAGATCTACTCAATGTTAAAGGACTTTTCAAGCAAAAATCTGTCTCATTAGCCATGTCAGAGTTCATAAAAAAAAAAAAAAAAAAAGCCAACCAACAAATAAAAAAAGACCCTTACCATTGACTTGAAGGGATAACTACAACGATTCCAAGATCTTTCAATATGCCAAGTCACTAAACAACGTTTTGTGCATTTATGATACCATCAGGGTTACTACCCTATTAAACAATCATTGTTTGATCATATGTAAGACCCTTTTATCCTCCTCCCCACTCAAAAAAAAAACAGCATTAAAATGTCTCTTGAGTCTTGTATGCAAATTGGGGCATCTAGTCTACTGTTTACCTAAGCACTGTTAATCCCTATCATTATTTTAAATAATTTTACTCCAAAAAAGGTAACAAAGCCACTAAGATGCAAGAGGTTGCTGAATGTGAGAGAATATAAGAAAAATGAAAAACATTAAGGCATGAGAGCAATAAAAGAACAGAAATTAAGAAGACATAAGATAATGACTGACATTGCATTTAAATATTTGAAGTTCAATTTTGGGAGCAACTGTAAAATGATGAGACCTAGCTGCCAATCTAGTACTGCACTTAAATTCATAAAGTCTAGGTACCATAGAGGAAAGCTCTTTAGAACAATTACTAGAAGAGAGTTCCACAGATGAGAAGTACAAGAGAAGAAACTATTAGCATAGAATTTTTAATATATGCCTGATATACAGAGGATCAAGATAGAAGAGGTTGACAATTCAGTAGTACTAATGTTACTTTTGGTGGACCATGCATTTATATAGTTACATTCTCTGCAGCCTTATAATCTATGTTACAATGATCTAGTACAGGGATGTGCTGATTTAGGGTTTTAAAATCATTCAGTGTGCCAACAGCATATGTATTTTTTAAGTCAAGGTCAATATACCTGTTCTACAGTATATTCTATATAGGAATGTATAGTATATATACTTTGGTATGTATTTGTTATATTCCATGCTAATAGGAATATATACTTGAAAAACAACGTGGATAAAATGAGTAAAGGTTTATTGTAAAAAAACCAATACAATAAGAATAAAGGTAACAATTATGCACAAGGTCATCGCAAGTCAGTCCAGTAGTGAGTGCTACTAGTGGAAGGTCAGTAGTTATTACGTAAGTCTGTGTCGTATTCAACAGGTCCCAGCTAGTCAATATTTACTACCTCCCTCATAAGGGTAGATGTGGCACAAGGCTGAGTTTGACGTAGGTCTTCCAAGCCTGTAGGCTCAGCCAAAAAATCCCCATTGAACATGCATAAATGGGATTGGGTCAATCTATCTCCCAGAATGAGACTCTGCCCTTTGGCATAGCTTTGTCCAGTTTCCACTCTGCCAGAATGCAGAGAGTTTGATCGTCTAGCTGGAAGAGATCCCAGCTAATCAGTATTTACTACCCCCCCCCCACGAGAGTAGATGTGTCACAAGGCTGGGTTTAACGTGGGTCTTCCGAGCCTGTAGGCTCAGCCCAAAGATGCCCATAGAATCCGCATAAACGGGATCAAGTTGGTCAACCTCCTGAACGAGACTCTGCCTTTGGCTGAGCCTCATCCTAATTCCTCTCTGCGCAGAGGCAGAGAATTTGACTGTCTAGCTGGAACAGGTCTCAGCTAGTATATTTAGCTACTCCCCGATGAGGGTTGCATGTGGAACAAGGCCGGTTTAATGTGGGTTCTACAAGCCTGTAGGCTTGGTCAAAAATATTCCCTTTTTGAACTCACATAAACGGGTTCAGGGGTAGTCTACCGCCCTGAATGAGACTCTGCCCTTCGGCAGAGCCTTGTCCGGGTTCCTCTCTGCCTTCAACTGTTTAACTGGAACAGGTCACAGCTAATCTCTGTAGTCTGTTTACTTACAGATACTTATAGGTAGTTACTACCTATAGTGTAGTCACTCATGGGGGTGACAGGCTATTCCATTACATGAGTATTAAAATTGAAACAGCTAAATATCTTCTTTGCGTTGTAGTAGTTATTGGTTCGGACTTCATGATGTCATTTGTGGCTGTCTACCATTGGAAATTGCTTGGTGTGCTATGTGTGGTGTAAGTTGTTGACCCCTGATCTAGTGTCTCTATATTTGTTACCATAAGATAGGGGAAATGACACACCCATGGCAGGATACAAATAAACTGTCCTATGTTGAAGAAGAAAGCAATCAGCCCACTGGTTTCTGCATAATTTTCAATGGCAGAGTTGTACAATAGACACTATGGCTAAAAATAATCCTTTTATTTTTCTCTCTCTCTCTTTTTTCCTCAAAAATAAATCAATAAAGTGATGGATAGTGGCTCGGATTGAAGAATCAGAGAGCCAAGTTCAAATTCCAGTCGGATCCATTACATTCATTTATTTGCTAATACTCTTGGCAAAGGTATGAATCCTCTTCTTCTCCCCCCAGCTATGGGTAAATAACAGGACAGACTCGGTTCTATAATCTTGGGTGGCGACTGGTGTAGAAGAAAAACTCTGAATTCAAAACTGGCTTGGAGAGGGTTGGGCTCCATCAAGCTATCTTGCTCAAGTAACACCACTTCTACTTTGGCTGTAGTACACATGGTTCCTCTATGATTCTGTGGGACACAGTATATAAAAAAAAAATAGATAAAGCATTTAAGATTATAGATATTAAAAAGAAAAAGATAAAATTTGGTAAAAGTTAATAGGGGGTCCAGTTTTCCATATAAATACATTGTAAATTGATCCCCCTTTATGAAAGTCAAAATAAACATGCTTATTTTATATGATTTCTTAAAATGGAAAAAAAAAAATTCCTTTTTTTTTTCAAATTTGAAATTTATAATCTAGTTGTTTTTATTATATTACAATTGATTAAACACTACAGATTATAAATTTTAAAAAAAATTTTTTTTTAAATTTAAGAAATCATCTCGTAGGAATTTGATATATTTTGATAGCAGCATCAATTTATACTTCACAGACTTCATTGCCAGTTAAAAAAAAAAAAAGAACATTTTAAAACTGATGTTAAATCATTTATTGTCGTCTTATATAAGGTTGGTCAGATCACATCTGTCATGTCACATTAATTGCTAATTATAGAACTTATCCTTTTAGAAACCTTTAACCTTTCATACTGGCAAAGAAAGCAGTGTGTCAAAAGGATGGTTTTTCCCTTGACACCACTATTATTTTAACTACCTTCACTCCTCGGCAATGTTTATTGTTTGAAAAGGTGATGATTAGAATTGTAATAAAACCTAAACATATGATGAAAGTGAATTTATATATATATATTTTTTTTTTTTTGTTGAGAATTTACAACATATTTATTTATTAGATTGTTTATTTACAAGAATAATTTTAAATTTACATTCCAAAAACAAACACAATTGAAACTAATGCAATGCAATATTATCATTTACCAATTTATAAAGAAATAAATACGAAAATTTTTTATTCATAAATTTGAGTTGGGATCAAATATGGATTTAAGTCCAACAATCAGAAGATAAAGAATGAATAGGAAATGTTTATTACTGTAATATGTTTCATTAAAGAAGTGGTTCTCAAATGGTGTACCTGGGTGCACTAGTGTGACCTGGAAGATGTGTAGGTGCACCCTGACATTCCAGAGAAATATGTGTCCAGATATAAGAAATAAATATATTTACTTTATTATATACCTACCTCATTCATATTTATGTGAATTAGGTTTTTCTGCTCTCACCACAATTAAGTGCAAAAAGAGAGGAACTCTTCAATGTATTGATGAGGAAAGGAGAGTTTGCCTATCAAATATACACCCAAACATTAAAGAAATCACTAAAATTCATCAGGCTCATGTTTCTCATAAACTTTTTTCTTTTCATGTGCCATGTCCTTTCAGGACATAGGCAATCATGGCTCTCCACTTCCTCCTATCCCTTGTGGCTGTCAATAGGTTTTGTGTTTATGCTAAGTACCCCATACCCTGTTATGCCATCCATCTGCCAACGCCCGCCAGGTATGTCGTGTTGATTTCCCTTCCTTGACTCTTTTTCCCCTCTATTCAACCTGTGAGTACCAGATTATCCAGGCCCTCCTTTCTCATAAACACAAGAATGAATTAACTGAAAGTATCTTTCATTTTATTTTTTTATTGCATTATTTCTTTTCTGCAATATTTGGCACATAAAAGAAAAAATACCAAAATTTCTTTGTACTTTTTCATCTCATTCTTATTGATAAATGTTTTTTATTTGTTTTCTATCTTATCATTCATAAGTTTATAAACATTAAGTAAAGTATTAAAACAAGCAAACCAGCCATAATGAAATCCTTATTATTTACCATTTTATAAAGTTTGAATTGATTGGCAATTAGCCAATATTTTGCTTGTCATTTCAATACACAATGAACAGTGTAAATAAACATTGTTTATTAGATTGTTTATTATTTTTGTTGTAAATTCTCAAGAGCAAAGAAAACACATTAATTTACTTTCATATCTTTAGGTGTCATTACAATTTAATAAACATTGTCAAAGATTGAAGGTAGTTAAAATAATAGTGGTATCAAGGGAAAGAAATTCTTTTGCAGATAAAAAGTGCAAATAATGATGTTTTTATATAAATTTTACAGAAATTAATTTGTCATTGAGACATTTAAACCAATTAAAATGATGTATTTACTTTTTTCTCCCCCCTCTCAAGGTTTCATGAATAGTTCTGGATTTCTCCGGCTTCTGGAAGAGGAAAATGATTGTAACCTTGAACTTTGCCCTGTTGGAGTTGTCCATGAAAACCCTATGGTGGGGAACCGAGCAATGTACTTCTCAGATGTTATTATGCGAAGTGACAATGGGTAAGCAATGATTTTTATTTGGTAAAAACTCTTGGGCATTTTTTTACAACCTCTTCAAACAGTTGTCCTCATATTTGCTTCTGTGAGGTTTGGCTGATGTATTCTTTAGCCTTCTTAATGTAATTGGAAGTTCTGAGATGAATTGTCATTTTATTAATATCATAATCTTTGTTGTTTTTATTCATAATATTTCGGTCAATCTGTTCTCCAGCTGGCTCAACATGTGGTAATATTTAGCAAAGCTAATCTAGTTGACCATTATTACTGATTATAGAGTTTGATCCTCACTGGGTGCTCCAATCAAAATTTTATCATATTAGAAAATTAAGTAAACTAAGCAAACCTTCAAGTAGGCAATAAATATTTTCTTGATAGAAAACAATTAATGAAATGGCGTCCAGTTAGATGACAGGATATAAAAAAGTTCTCTATCATTGATTAGGTTTCGAGAAGAAAATTTATCACCTTCTCAGCTAAGAATAGCCAGAGTAATAAACCATAATGCTAATCCGTGTCTGTTCATGCTTATCAACCCAATAATTCTCCTCCCCATTAACCAACCTGTTCTGCTCTGTCTTGCATTTTGATCTCTTCCCAGTCATTCAGAAGAATTTTTTTTTTTCTTTTGATTGCAAAGGAATCATTGGCATAGCAGACAGCGAAAATACTGTTCCTTGTATGAATGAACTGACCCTTGCCTGTCCATGTTAGGGAAATGATCACATTCCTTTACCTGCAATTAACTCATTCTGATCTGCTTATACTGCTATGTCTATATGCTATATGTTGTTAAAAGATGAGGGTAAATAAAAGAATTATAGGCAAAGCAAACAGAAACAATGTGGATTTCAATCAAAATATCTGATTGAGACCCACAGGTGTAATGGCAAGTTGAGATGTCAACAGTATGGCGAAAATCTAAAAATGGCACTGAAATTATGTTAATTCATGATTTTTGTTTTTTTTCAGTCATGAATACAAAGAATTTCATGATCTAAAAGGTCACAAGTTTGCCTACAGTGAACCGTATTCCATGAGTGGTGCATACATTGTTTTGGATGAATTGAAGAACCAGAAGACAAATTCCTCATTCTTTGGAGATATCTTTCAGTCAGGTAAGCATCATCGGAGGCTTCTCATTTTTTTGTTATAGTATATGTGTGTGTGTATATAGTTTTAAGGTGTACTATATTTATGGGATAAAGTGCTCAATATCAGAGATAGTGTGTAAATATAAAAGTGAACATAGAACTCAACAGGCAACAGTCTGTTTCATGCTAGACGCAATCATCAGGCCACCTATATATATATATATATATATATATATATATATATATATGCAAAGGGAAGACAGGAAGGTAAAGAAAGAGTCGGTAAACTTAGACTAGCAGTACATTTATAACTGTTAAGCCCAATGTGGAACAGTCAAACACATCTGCATCTGAAAGTATGAACTATGATTGATGGTATTTTCTTCTTTGTCTGCTCACCCTGATCGAATCCTGCCTGGGATTTTGGAGTTGACAGCATGGTTAATCTGACAGGCAGTAAAGGATTTTTTTCCCCTCAGGCAAACTGGAAAGAGCTTGCTTGGGACTGTACATTCATGATAAACAGTGAAACATGCTGTACAATAATAAAATAAATAAATATATATATATATATATATATATATATATATATATATATTTTGCATGAAAATAAATCCATGTTTTTCAAAGGAAGTGAAAATAGAAGAAAAATATGTTCTTGTAAAGTGATTAAGTTGGTTAAGATATGAGTGGAGGAATTTAATGTGGGCTTTTATGGACAGTAAGTGATTGATTGAGCTTTTTTTTTTTTTTATTATTATTTGTACTATGTTCTTGGTGCAACTGTAGGTGAGTTTTGCAGTATTTTTATTGAGCATTTTGTGTAGAGTGCTGGATTCTGGGAAGCATTTGTTTAAGAGTTTGAAGAATATTTTACCTATGTTTGTTTTTACTGTACGGTGGGTTGAATCATGTGATATTTCTTTTCCTGTTGACCTTTTTTGTGCTATGTGAGTGTTGCCAGGAATTCACTAACTTTTAGGGCTGTTCCGTCGTCTTTCTTAAATATGGTTTCATTGTAAGAATTGTCGGAAAGTCTGCGGTTAATAGAGTTTGGTATCTGTTCAGGTGGTTCATCATTAGGTTTTCTGTATGGTTTCTATGTGCTTTTTTTTTTTTTTAAGGTAACATGTAGAAAGTCTATTTCGTTTAGGAAAGTCTATTTCGTTTAGGTGAGTTTTTATAATTACAGTGTAACCCGGATATAAGAGAGTTGTCGGGACCAGAGAAGAAGTCTCTTATATCCGGGTTTGGTCTATTTTATATACATTAACACAGGCTCTAATTTGGGACCAGAGAAAATCTCTCTTATATCCGGGTTACACTGTATATCAAATCAGTTCTTTTTGAAAATCTTTTTTATTGCTATATAAATGTATAGCTGGGAGGAAGATTTAATGTTTAGTGACCTAGACTTGAACAGGTTAAGATTGTAGTGATCAGGGAAGCAGCCTCTTGGGAATTAGTATCTAAGTGTGACTCTCTGGGCAGGTGAGGGGAGGTTGGAATAAATCGCTCCTCACCTATATGTCAATATGCAATTCTAAATCTCTTTGTTTATTTGTGCTACTAATGATATTAATTAAATAGGAGTAGGTAGGCTTTCCTACCGCCTGGTCAACACTCCTCCCCCTTCTCTAGTTAGTTAGTTAGTTTTGCCTTCTCTAGTTAGTTAGTTTTGAAATGCTTTAAAAAAAAAAAAAAAAATCAATTTAGAAAAATAACATATTTGATATAGATGTAAAAAGTAACCTAAATATTGTATGTATGTATGTTTATGCCAAACTTCACTTACAATTCCATAATTTTTTTTTTTCTTTCTTTCTTTCTTTCTGTCCCATTCAGGTTCACATCTCAAATCTATACAAATGGTCCTTAAAAAACAAGTTGATGCTGCTGCCATCGATTCCCGTGTTTTAAAGTATTTTCTTGACAGAAATCCTCGCCATGAAAGGGAGTTAACTGTGCTTACTTCACTTGGACCTATGCCGACTTACCCGATTGTTTTCAGAAAAAACCTCCCAGGTATAAACTTTTGCATGCACCTTCTTTGCCATTTTATAATCATCTTCAATCTAAACTAGTTACTTACATCAGTGGATGCCTTTTAAGTTGCAATCATTTCCTGTGTTTTTATTTGCAGCACATAAGATAGAAAATGTCTTTTGGTACACCTCATGAGTTAAATAGTAAGATAGCTGGAGGAACATCCTTGAATGTCTGAACTCCAAACCATGTGGAAGATTTCCTTACAAGTCATGAATAAATTCATTTTCTACTGACATCGTCATTTTATTTAAAGCCACAATATTTTCACTATTTACATTGTCCAGACTATTGTCCTTATCTTTGTTGCCATATTTATCACAAGGCTCTGGCCTTCTTCAGGTGCTTGGAATGTTAAACTACACCCTTTATTTTACTTGCTGGAATAATCTGTTTTAGTGCCATGGGTAATGGATGTCAGTTATTGCCTGTTAATTCCCCCTCTGAAAGTTCTCCACCACCTTAACCAGGTATTGAACTCATACTCTTTGGGTGTTGTCACTGGCTCTCACTAACTTTCTTTTAAGTCATGAATTATTACCTGATAGGTGGGGATAGAAAATAGATTTATACCTTTTCCCAAATGTATTTGCACCTAAGTTAATACAACAAAGCAAATCTGTATTGGAACTCAGTTCTTCCATTAACAATTTCAGTCTATATTCCCTAGTGGTCACTCATCTATTTAGTGACCCAGCTCAACATTGCTTAACTTCAGTGATCATACAGGATTTAAACAAGACATAGCTGTAAGCCCAAAATGCCATGACACTTACATGAGTAAATAAATTGATCAATCAGTTCATTGACAAACATGATACACACTTTATCAAGGTTTCTACAGTAGACTGATTGACCAACCAGATTAAAAGAATCCAGTCTGTCCTGCTATTCAACCCATAGCTGAGGGGGGAGAAAAGATGGGTTCATACGTCTCGCCAGGGCATTTGTGCACAAGTGAATCTAAGAATCTAACAAACTCAACCGGAATTGAAACTCACCTCCCTGATTTCTCATTCCAAGTGGATTTCCATTACACCAACCATGGTTGAGATTAGCAATAGAATGGCTACTTGTGGTTGCTGATAAATTTAACTTCTTAATTTAAAAAAAATAAATAAAATAAATAAATAAACTGAGCAAAGAAATTTTTTTTAAACTTCTAATTGTTTTTTTTTTTGTTTTTTTTTCCACAGCTGCGATGAAAACAAGTATTGTAAAAGCTCTTTTGGCCATGCCAAAAAATCCTAAATGGGCCAGCAAGCTCCGTGAATTGTACATAAGTGATCTAATTTCCATTGATATGAGCCTTTACAATGTGGAGAAAGAAATACATGAAAATATCAAGGGTCTAACTATGAATCCAGCTTATTATTAAAAGAAATGATAAACATTTTTAAGAAATAAAATATTTTTGCCATTTTAAAGCATTTTGCTTTGTTGATTACTTTAACATTGTTTTTTTTAATTTCAGAATCTGTTTTATCTGCACAGCTCCCTTAATACCTTTTGCTTTAAAGGGGGGGGGTTTATGGTTGCTATCTTCAATATTTAAAACTGAAATTCGTCTCCTCCCCTTACTCAATGCAAGCATGAAGTCCTTCGACAAATCAAATATTGAATTAAGTGTGAAAATGTTCACATTCCTTGTGAATATTTTTTCTTCTTTTTTTCACTTCCCTTGAAAGGCATGCATTTATTTTCATACAAAGCCACCGAGGAATGGAAATAACAAAGATAAATCTGAATTGTCTCACACACACAGAATTCATTTTATTTTAAATTACATATATATATATATATATATATATATAGAGTTCCATTCTTTCTCACCCAAGCACATTTAATCACTTCTTTTTGTGTGTATATACAATATATATGCCACACCCAGTCATAAGTCCCAATTATCTTTCAAATCAATTAATTTATATCTTTTTCATTGTCCACCCACCAGATTTCATCGGTGGGTAAAATCAGAGGTTATTTAAAAGTCCAGAGGACAGTATGAGTCAATTTTCAGCAAAAGGCTATTGTATGGAGGATGGGGCGTTTCACTCGACTTTCAAAAACTTGTACAATCTCATCAACATCATTGTCAATGTCTTCACTATGATGAAGCTGAAAAAGAAAAACAAAAATTAGTATTTGTCAACAGGATAAACTTTCAAGTCAAATAAGTTTCATCATCTTCCTTGTCTAAATTTACTAAACTAGCCAAATACCTGTCCTACTAAAAGATAAGTCACAATACTTATCTTGAACTCTCATATTTCTGCATAAATGACATTTTCAGCAAGACATCTGTTTTCTAAGATTCTCTTTGTTCTTATGTTAAGTTCACTTGAATTTCCTATTCTGGACATAGCTACACAGGGCTGACAATTTCAGAAACATTTGAATAATATTCTAATGTTATTGTTCATAATAATAACAATATTATTATCATTATCTTCTGGGACATGCCAAGTCAAACTGACAAGGGAAATAAAAGCCAAGAGACCTTATATTATCATAAATGACAAGAAATTCAGGAAGTGTATACTTATTAACATAGCAGTATCATCTGACAGAAACACCTCCATGAAAAATCATCAAGAAATTGTCCAAATACAAGGACCTGGAGATCGACATTAACAGGATGAGGGGAATGAACACTAAGACTGTACCAATAGTAATTAGAGCACTGGGCCTCATGAGTAAAGGAAGGGACAATTTTACTAACAGTGTCCCAGGTTACATCAACATACAAGTTACCCAGGAAATTGCTCTACTACGAACATCCCATATACTAAGAAAAGTGCTATCATTTAAATGACAGTTCTCTTATAGGACCTAAGTACCGTAGTTTGAACCCAGCTCTACAGGATACAAAGCATGAAATATCACATACACAAATGAGAATAACAATAAAAATAAAATTTATATTTACTAACTAAAAACTTTTCCTACAAACAGAGAATTTCTTACTCTAGATTTTGCTAAAAAGAGCTGATCATGAGTGAGAAATTACTGTAAATTTTAATGTTTATATTAATAATATTAAAACTTAATTCAAAATACTATGTTTGACTTGTTTAAATATTTAGATCACTCAAATTTTTTTTTTTGTTCCATTCAACTAATTTCTAATAAAATATCAGGTGACAACAGTACGTATGTAGGTTTACTCCTTCACAAATGAATTTTGATAAAAATTTCTTTCTATACCACCATGAATTTTTATCTACAGCCCTTACATATGATATTTATAAAAATTTGATTTACAAATAAAACAGAAATATTCATCTAAATATAATTTTTAAAAATTAAATAATGTTACTACTTATGCTGTAAAAACAATTTCTTACTTTATATAATTATTTTTTATAAAAAAATAATTTATAACATAAATCACTACAAAAATAGCCATTTTGTTTCAACACCGGTGTCTTATCAAGTGATGATGTTGAAACAAAATGGCTATTTTTGTAATGATTTTATAACATATTTATGTTATAATTTTTTTTTTTTATAAAAAATATATCTGCTCTACTTTGTATTGAGCACTCTTAAGAATAGTAATTGTTGGTTATTGGAATTAATTCCGTATACACCAATTATATATACTTGTGTGTGTGTGTGTATATATATATATATATATATATATATATATATATATATATATATATATATATTTAGTGGTACGAAATTTTATCACTGCTATGAACAGACAAAAATTAGTTTTATTATTACCATTCATGATAATAAAAAGTAAAAATGAAAAACAGGCCAGTTAACCGGTTTCGTACCTTGCTCAACAGAGCTAAATCAAGGTAAATAGAGTAAATTATATAATTAAAAAACAAAAAGCAATGGACAAAGTTTATTGGTGGGAAGAAGAAAAAAAAATTATTTAAATGTTAATTAGTTGGAGGCCTAATATAAAGTCCTTCTGTTTACAAAGACACGGCTTTACAGATAGAATATAGATGGCCTCCAACACTTTTAGGTGGTAATTTGAATGGGACTTGCTAAGGATGGTAAAAGCGTCCGCACTAAAACTAACAGCACAATTATGGCTATTTATAAGCTGTTCTGCAATGGAATACCTGTACTTATTGGTCAAAATATCCCAGGAAGTGTACTTCCATTTTCGGAATTTCGCTGGAACATGTGGTTTTATTCTAACATCTAGCCTTTGCGTCGTTCTCCCTATGTAGTGGAAACCGCAACTACATTTAAAGGAATAAATTAATGAACTGTTATGCTGTGGTGGGAGAACATCCTTACGCATAGACGGAAGGACAGGCCCGGCAGAGAAAACAATACGAGTGTTAGTGGCAAAGTAACAATGTTGAACTGTGGTAGAAACCTGCTTGGCAGACCTATCACTAATTCTACCTAGCCAAGAAAGGCGTAGATACACAGGACATTTTTTTTCTATAGCGGGTTTCACTTTGTTAAATTCAGCAATTTTGTTCTTAATAATTGCTTGAACAATACCTAATGGGTAGGCATTGTTGCAGAGAGAAGTAATAAACCTGAGTTCATCATCCAACTTGATGACTGAACAGATCATGAGAGCCCTATGGGTAAGGGACTTAATTAAATTAATTTTGCGTTTCCTGGGACAAAAATTATCCCAACAGATATACAAACCAGTAAACGTCAGTTTACGGTAAACAGAAGTAATAAAACCTGACATAGATCTGATGACAAGTACATCAAGAAAGGGAAGAGATGGATCAACCTCCTTTTTCCTGTGTAAATTTCAAGGTCGGATGTATATTGTTAAGGGATGCAAGAAATTGGTCCGCTTTAATCTCGTTATTGAAGAGATAAAAAGTGTCATCGACCTAACGGAAATAAAAGTCAGGTTTATCAGATTTTAGTAGTACATTCTCTTCCTGGAACCCAATAAAGATATTTACTAAGATGGGCCCCTTAGGGGAACCCATCGAAACACCATCAATCTGCCTGTACATGATGCCGTCAAAACTAAACTCCACTGACATCGTGGCAAATTTCATCAGTTCAACAAACACGTCTTTCGGAATAACAAGCGGAGACAATTGACTACAATATAGGGCATCAGCATATATATCGATAGTCTCAGCCAGTTGAACACAAGTAAATAAACTGGCGATATCATATGAACATATAAATTTATCCATAGGCAAATAACACTGTATAAAACAGGAGAATTCAAAAAGAATCTTTAATACAAGCAGAGTTATACTGCTTCAAAACCAGTTGCAGTATAGTGGAAAGCCATTTAGCCACACCATGTTGAGAAGACCCTATCATAAATAGAATACATCCCATCTCTCTAATATATTTCATAAATAAAAAGACAGTAGCAAAACTGTAGCATTAGCTGACATGTTTCATCCAATGTGGACTTTTTCAAAGCAGGAAATGAATTTAACCAAACAAAATTTCCTTAATAACTGCTAGAATTTAGAAACATTATTTTATGTTCATTTGAGCAACTGAAAAATTACGTCAATTACTTTTTATGTTCCAAGAGAATATTTTCACATGTACAAATATTGTTTGTATTGTTGTGTTGATGGATTCAACTATTTTCTTTTCATTTCTTGATATATTTGTTTTGTATATTGGTTTGGGAGTGTAGTAATTGGGAAAGTCCACATTGGACAAAAATCATCAGATTAAACTACAGTTTTCCTATTGTCTTTCTTCCTATATAGACTTTTTCTACACATTAAGAATTGTTTTATATATATATATATATATATATATATATATATATATATATATATATATATATATATATATATATATGCACAGTATTTATGGAAAGTGCTCAATATCTGTAATAGAGCTAACATATTCAGTTGCACAGATATTAGTTTGTAACCCTGGGTTTCACACTTTTGCGGTCATCAAACTCCACCAGACACAAATAATCAAGCATAAATAAGTATAAATCGACCCACTTTTTAAAAAATAAACCAGTTTCAATAGATAAATAAGGCTAATATCAAAAGGTTTTCCTGATCTAAAAATATATATAAAAATAAATAAAAAATATATTTAAAAAAATATAAAAAAAAAAAAAACTATATAAATAAAAAAATTGCTGCTTACTTAAAAAAGGATGTGTAAAATGTATGACCTAATCATTGGAAAATTAAAAAACAAAATAATCTCATTGAAGAATTAATGAAAATTCTTCCTCTAAGAGATTCCAACAACTTTTTACTTATTAATATGTCTGACAGAGAGAGAGTCTGGGAAAAACACACACACACACACACACACACACATGTATATTTCTTTTTTTTAGTGAAATTGGAGTAGATTTGAATAGCAAAATTAAATTGGAGTATTTTATTTACTGGTGTGGAAATCTGATCTAGGGCAGAAGTTGTACCCATTGAATCTGGGTCATCAGAAGACAATGGAAATGGTCGAAATAATTTTTATCGATTAAAAATTGAAATAGAGCTGAGTAAGCCAGAAGGAACTTTGGAATTCACATGATTTTAGTTGAAACCCTGTGACAATCGCATGCAAAGTAGTAGGGCCGAGTGTCAGTTATAACCAGCCTGGTTTATCTACATAAACACGTAGTTATACTGAAACAGACAGACAGGAGAAAATTCTTGAAGAGAGAATTGGCCCAGGCGAGCGTTGGGAGGAGGAACGCCACTATAACTTTAAGCCCTGCACAGAAATCTTTATCCCTCCATCACAAGAGTCATATCGTTCTGAGACAATTTAACAACAAGATAATCACATACACTCTCTCTCTTTTTTTCTCTCTCTCTGTCTGTCTGTGTCTGGAATCCAGTGTATGAGTTTTTTTTTTTTTTTTACTTTTCTTTTCTGCAACCCGTTTCTCTCCTCTACTATTCTTTTCTGCTATATAAAAGACATTAACAATTCAACCATTGAATCGATGTTTGTCTGGTTTTCTACCTATATTAATTTTTTGGGCCGCATTCTAAATTTCTTAGCGGACTCCCCAGCCGTGTCTACATCTTCAGTCAACCGTGAATAGATGGACATCACTTCTGCTTTCTGGATCAAACAAATTACAATGTGGGCAGGAAGCAGGATTAAACCATCGGACCGGTCGAATAATCTACAGATGCCCAGGGGACCTATAGCCACTCCCTTAAGTTCTATTAGGACAGAGTAGATACCTCAACCCTGAGAGCAAGACGCCAGAGGTTTAGGGGCCGGGGCAAAAGTGCTAGATATGCAACAGAAAACAAAAAATATATGATAGGGTAATGGATAAGAAAAAAAATGTAGCTATATGAGTAAATTTTAATTTCACCTGCTGTTGGTTTGACTAAATAGCTTAAAATATTCTTCACATCATACAAGCTCTCAAAACTCAATCTTGTCAGAGTAAGTGAACTTTCATTCCCTGCTGATTAAAACAACTTAAAAGGCAACAATTAAAAAAAGGAAATATAAACTAGTTAAAAATTAATAAAAATACTCCATCTACAAAATCCAAAGATAATTTATATCAGCCTTCATTAAACAGCACAAAGCACTGAACCCTATGTGGCAGCAATATTCTAAGCATGAGTGAATGGTAGACTTATAGATATGCAAGATTAATTGTGGAGAGAAAAATTTTCTCAAACAACACAATTAACCAACTTTCTTAACAGCTGACCTAGCAATGTATTCAAAAAGCCTTTTCTTTAACAATTCCTTATTAAATTCTTCTTTAGTACTTCAACTATCCTTTTGTTCTTTTATTTTTCTCTTTTATGGATGCCATGTTTTTTGAAAGCTTCTTTTGACCAAGTTAACTGCCTTTTAGGCTTTCTCCACATCAACGGTTTAATGGCATATCAACTCCTTATGGGCGATTTAATGCCAAAATTTAATTTTATTGGGAGCTTAGAAGTAATCACAATATGATATCTTATTCTGCTTGCACAATTGAATACATGGCACGTGATACTCGGCTTTTATGCAATATTTGTGTGAACATAATTACTAGGTAGTAACGTATGTGTTTTATGTTATACTTTTCTTGAATTTATATTTTGGAATACAGTTTGATTTCTTCAAGAACTTTTAGGATATATAGATTAATGTCATGAAAGAGTTCTTCCATATTGGTTGTTTGCCTGATTTTGTTTGGCAGCATAACAACCTCTATGGGTTATTTAATGCCAGAATCTAAATATTTTTAACACAATTTTAGGGTTTCAACTGAACAGATTTTGAATGTAATTGCATGCCATCAACTACAGATAAAATTTATTGTTGGTTATTTTGCTATAAATAAGTCTTTTTATACTTTTATATTTAGTTTTGTTGAGTGGCTCACTACTTGCCCATAGATGAAACCCTAACTTGTGCTAACACTCTGGATCAGGATGGACATGGGAACAGCAATTGAGGTGATTCCATGCTCCTCAACACTTTGCTACGGGATATAGTTTATCAACATACCCCGGACTACACATGAATAGGTGTTCACTTTTTGAATAACAATAATTATATGCCATTGATCATCAGGATTTTAGATATGCTTAGATGGGACATAGCCAAAAAAGGTTGGGAACCACTGGTTTAAGTAATAACGATAGGATATCAAGTAAAAATTCTAACCAACCATTGTGACTAGATCACAGATCATAAAGGCTCCAATTGTTGCCTCTTCATGGTTATCCTGTATATCAATGTTAATGATGTGTGTTGGGTAACTGTCTCCTTTTTCACGGCTTTCTAAATCTGAAAAGAAAAAGAATAAGGTTTAAAGCTGGAAATAATTGAAGCATTTTATAGTTATTCAAAAAGGGAATTTATTTTTGGGCCATATAATTCATTCAGTGTATACAAAAACGCTTTCATGCAAATAGTAAAACTGAACATCTATTATATAATGTATGTATATGGGTAATTGAGCGACAAAATAAACAAAAAAAGTGTGACTGTTCTTCATAGAAAGAACTGCTTCATACAATTTTATCAATGGGATGAATTTTTTTTATTATTTATTAATCCAACAGTTTTTTATTACTTAAATGTTATCTTAGGTGTTGCATGTTCAAATCGTGTCAGACAGCACATTTTTCTAATAAGCTTCCATGTATATTCAGGGCAATAAACAAAAATAAATGGAATGTCTACTCAAATATGTGTGTCCACTATATATATATACCAAAAAAAATTTCGCTTGAAGATGGAACAGAGCTTACTTTAATTCGAATATTGAAGTTTTCGGCTCTTGTTTTGAAACATGAGAACTCTTATGTCGCGTGTTGGAATCATATTTTAAAATAAATATATATATATATATATATATATATAATATATATATATATATATATATATATATATATATATATATATATATATATATATATATATATATATATATATATATATATATATATATATAATATATATATATATATATATATATATATATATATATATATATATATATATATATAATATATATATATATATATATATATATATATATATATATATATATATATATATATATATATATATATATATATATATATATATATATATATATATATATATATATATATATATATATATATATATATATATATATATATATATATATATATATATATATATATATATATATATATATATATATATATATATATATATATATAATATATATATATATATATAATATATATATATATATATATATATATATATAATATATATAATATATAATATATATACATACATACACACACACAAAAGGTATCCATAAATTCTCTTTACAATTTAAAAAATATATTACAAAGGAAATTGATGAGATATCTTAATCATATTTGTTCTATGTACTCAGTAGTTATCAAAGTTTTTAATCACGTTGGATTTGTGTATTTCGGGTATCCTGTCAATAAAATAAATACTGTTATATATACCCCTAAAAAATGGCTACTCCTCAAGAAAAGGCACAATGTGTGCCATGTTTATTTAAACAAAATCAGATGCACAAACTTAGTGGAACTACAGAATTAAGTATGGAAGACATCCAGCATTGTGTCCATCAATTTGTACATGGCACAAAAAATTTATGGAGACGGGAACATTGCTGGAGAAATGGAGGATTGGAAACCAAGAACATCTAAGGAAAACATTGATTGTAAAAGACAAGCCTTTCAGTGTTCTACAAAGTGCATCTGCACTGCTGCCAAACAGTTACAGCTACCACATTCAACAGTACAAGTCCTACACAAGAACTTGCAATTGTACACTTACAAAGTCTAACTCTTACAGGGACTCGAGCCAAATGATAAACCATTGAAGCTATGCTACAACAAATATAGCAACTAATCAAGTACCATCTTACTGTGCTTTGTGCAACAAATAGTAGCCATATAGAGGTGTATTAGACAAAAAAAAGAAAAAATTAATTTATACTCCTCATTCTGTAACAATTTCTACATATTGGTCTGTTTATTTACCTTTGTAATACATTTTTTTTTTAATTGTGTAGAGACTTTATGGACATCCTGTGTGGTAGGGGATAAGGAGAGAGATGGGAGGGATATGTGGAAAGAGGGATTAGCAAACTTGACACACACAACATACTGAAGGCAAGGAGGACAGAAGAAAACAGCACACAACCTACAAAACAAGCTTGTGTAAATGGTTGGCAAAACAGGGATTAGGAGAGAGACCAAAAAGGCAAACTTTAAGAGCTTTAAAGAATAGGAAATTGTGGAGAGCCATGATTGCCCAATAGACCATAGCACTTACAAGAAGATATCAATGCATAACCTACCTGACCCCATTTAGTTTTCTATTGTTTTTAAATGACCCACATGGTTATCGGTATTAATTTTGTTAGGAAAGGATATAATGCTGTATGACACTGGATATAAATCTACCAGGGAAGATTCGTAAATTAGTGCACTTTCAATACATTTATAGTAAAGTTCATTATGATGAATGACCAATGCATTAATTGTATTGTTTTGTAAAAGACTCCTTTTGTGTTCAGATCCTTTCATTTTAATTCCAACATGCTTCACCTATTTCTTTCTTGTGACATCTTTTGTAATCTATTTTTTAAATTTCTGATTCAGGTAGACATGTTTTTGGTTTCCTTTTTTTGCAACAGCACCACACACAATTTTGTCATTCAATTTCCCACTCTTAGTTTGATATACAAATTTATATACCTTTCACTTCTGTATATCTATCATAGAGGTGAATGAAATCAAACAGGAGAGGAGCCTTATACATCATTTCAAGGCCTTTACGAAATAGCTTTTGAATTATGAGCAGTCCCCATAACAAGATTCTTATTAAGAAGCAAAATCTACAAAAAAAAAAAAAAAACTTAAAAAATGCCTAGAGAAGAACATATGATGGTTACTCAGGAAGTAATGCCATCTATTTTATTACGTTGGCAAGAGGTGCATATTGGTCATATGGCAGTAGACATGAACTCCACTCTTTGCCAATAACCTATAACTTTTTTTTTTTTTTTTTTACCTTGTTCACATAAAGCAGTCTGTTAAAATGGCATCTGACATGAAAACACAAAGCAGAGACATATCACTGAATTTCTCTATACAGGAAAATTTATAGCCACTGATATTTGCTGAATTCTTATGGAAACCAAACAGTGGATGTGAACAGTTAGGTGGTGGTGACAGCAATGTGTGACAAATCACATTAAAAGGCAGCCCTACACAACTTTCAACCAACAAAATAAAAATAAAACACTTCAATAGTCAATGGTGGTTGTAATTTCAGTATGGAAGTCTACATATGAACTCATTGAGTAAGATATATGATTAATACAATTAAAAAATTTGTCACTTAGCTGATTGTTATCATATTCAGTACCACAGGCCCATCAGGTTCCTAATCTATAAGAAAAAGGGAAAAATCCCTAATTTATTTTATAGTAGGTTCAGCTAGAATTTTTCTTAAAACCTCAATAGTCTATAATAATATTTTCAAAAAATAGCCGAGAGTGAAGAAAAAAAAAATGTCAAAAATGTGTTATAATTCCAAGTCTCTTAATATAAATCTTTTCTTTAAAATTTCAATGTGATATTGATAAAAATAGGTAACGGTCTTTAGCTTGAAAATTCATTTTTCAAGTTCACAATAGGATTTGAACCGAATCAAATCTGCTTGAATCTAGCAAGTATAGTCACTCCTGAATGAAGATAAGATACATTCAATTTCATCCACCCAAAATGAGGTTTGGTAACAGAAAAAGCTTCTCTCAAGCGTGACACTATTTAGCTATGGCTAACTAATTAACCATAGAAATTAAAACAGAAAATAGACATTCTTAAAGCGAAAAAGAGCTATTGAAAGATAGACTGATCAATGAAAAAAAAAAAAAAAAAAATTTAATTCTATTTATGAAAAAAAGATACTTTTCACAAAAGACAGAAAAAGCCATGGAAGAAGCCATGTGTAAGGTCTTGTCAGGTTCATTTATGTCTCGCTGAGGGAGATAGAAAGAAAGGCAAATATGAAGATTTCGGCCAAAACACGTGCCAGTCATAAAAATTTCGGCTTGAGACAATCGCAGATGCAGGACAGGGAGAACCAATGTTAATTATCTTTGCAAGATATCATTTATTTTTTTTATGTTACCACGAGAGAGAAGCAGTATGGCGGCCATAAAATTTTGGCATTGTCTCGAGAAGATTGTTATCATTTACTTAGCCAACAGAAGCTAAGATGTTGAATAGCAATGTGGCAATGTCTCAACATAGGTGAGGGGTTTATTATTTACCTTATCAATGTGTTGATTCAGACACTGAGATGCTGAATAGAAATATGGTGTATGTAAACTTTTGGCATGAGATAGAAAATAGAGTGGAGAATTGAGATTTGGCAAGATAAAAGAATTTAATTTCTTAACAAGTGAAGGATTCCATTATAAAGCTAACTTAACATAAGGACCAGATGGCAAACTTTGACAGTGATTGATGAGTTGGTAAAGAGTGCTGGCTAAGTGAATTTTGGGTGGCCCCAAAAGAAAGATGCGATAGGAATTTAATTTGCAATATGGAATTCATAAAAATTTGGGCTGATGGGAAAGGAGAATTTTGTAAACAAAAATTCTACATTATAGTTTTAAGGAGGCCAGCTTAGCCAAACCCACAGTGCTGGAATGCCATTGGTCAAGTGGTAGCATGGGTGATAGGCGAAGGTGAATGGATGAGAAAGATGGAGAAGTTATTAACGCCCACTGAAGGGATTGGCATGAGATATCAATGTGAGAGAGAAAGAGTCTAGGAGGATAGCTCTCCTCCGACCTTCCCTCACGGACAATGGAGACCCCTCCCCAAAAAAATGGGAAGTGGTTAATTTTCCAAAAATGGGAAGTAATCAATTTTCCTGTCCTGACAACAAAGAGATTTCTTGTTAGAAATTAAGATTACCGGAGACCCCCAGGCCGCACCTGGCCCCACACCGGGTTTTGGTCGGTACCCATATAAACGAACATTGATGGGTTGTTCAGCAGTTAGTTTGAGTTGGAGACACTGTTGAGCTGGTTTTGGAGTCAGAGCTTAACCAGAGTGTTGCCTCACAGAAGCTGACCGAGAGATTCCACAACCTCCGACTTCGCCTATCCTACCAATAGCAAGTTATACTGATTAATGAAGCCAAGCCAACACCTAAGAACTAAATTAGTTGACTTACGATACCAACTTGCTTGAAACATAGAAGTGTCACATGTCATGGGAAACAGG